CGGTTCGGGTGGAACTCGTCAGGTGGGGCCACCGGACTCAGAAGGGACCTGTGGAATACCGGGTGAACCTTCAGGGTTGCAGGCAACTGGAGGTGGAATGCCACAGGCGAGACCTGGTCCACGATAGGAAACGGGCCGGTGAAACGGGCGTCCAGCTTCCGCGAAGGTTGAGAGGGGTGGAGGTGGCGAGTGGAGAGCCATACCAGGTCACCAACGTGGAGTTCCGGCCCCACCCGGGGTGGCGGTCGGCCTGGGCCTTGTACGCCTCCTTGGCCTGGCGCAGTTGCTCCATCAATAGCTGTTGCTGGGACTGGAGCTCCTGAAGCCACTCCGTCACCGCAGGGACCGCGGATGCCGGCAGCACATCCGGAAACAGCCGTGGATGATAACCGTAACTGGCCTGGAACGGGGTCTGCTGGGTGGACGCATTCACCGCGTTGTTGTAGGCGAACTCCGCCAATGCTAGGTGGTCGACCCAGTCATCCTGCTGGTAGCTGCAGTAACACCGGAGGTACTGCTCCAGCACCGCGTTCGCCCGTTCCGTCTGGCCATCGGTCTGTGGGTGGTAGGCTGATGAGAGACAGACCTCTGTCCCGAGGGTCTGGTGCAATGCTCGCCAGAACCGGGATGTGAACTGAACGCCCCGGTCGGACACCACACGCTCAGGTAGGCCATGCAGGCGGAAGACATGCTGAAGGTACAGCTGAGCGGTTTCCTTAGCTGTGGGTACGGATGGGCAGGGGGCACAGTGCACCATCTTAGTGAAATGGTCGGAGAAAACTAGAAGGCAGGTACAGCCACGAGACGGGGGTAAGTCCACTACAAAGTCCAGCGAAACCGTGTGCCAAGGACGTGGTGGGACTGGCAACGGCTGAAGTAGGCCGGGGGGTCGCCCGGTAGGGCCCTTGGCCCGCCGGCAGACATCACAACCAGCGACGTAGCGAGCCACGTCAGCCTTCAGGCGGGGCCACCAAAACTCACGGCTTACCAGATGGGTGGTCCGATACCGCCCAAAGTGTCCCGCTGCTGGGGCATCATGGGTCATCCGGAGAACCTCAGCCCGCAGTGGCCCTGGCGGGATGTACAGGCGACTGTGGTACAGCAGAAGGCCCTGTTGCAAGACCAGCCCCGGATACTGAGGGCATGACCCTTCGGCCAGTTCCCGGAGTCGTTCCTGGGCCCAAGCGTCGACCCGCTGCTGTTCCCGCACCCGAGCCTGCAGTGGCTCAGCCTCCTGGGTGGCCAGGAATGCAGCCGGTGGTAGGATCGTGGTGGGTACTGCTTGCTGTACCGTGTCTGCGTTGTCTTCAGGTTTCCGGGACAGGGCATCCGCCTTCTGGTTTTGGGAGCTAGGGATGTAGCGGATCCGGAACTGGAACCGGGAAAAGAACAACGCCCACCGGATCTGCCTTTGGTTCAGCTTGCGGGTGGTCTGGAGGTACTCCAGGTTCCGGTGGTCGGTTCTCACCTCCACCGGGTGTCGTGCCCCTAAAGATGGTGGCGCCAGACTTAAAAGGCCACCTTGATGGCCAGTAGTTCCCGCTCCCACACGGTATAGTTACGCTCCGCTGGAAGGAGCTGGCGGGAATAGAAGGCGCAGGGTAAGAGTGGCGCATCGGGTCCGTACTGCTGAGACAAGACGGCACCGAGAGCCGTACTGGAGGCGTCGGTCTCTACCACAAAGGGTCGAGAGGGATCAGGATGTTGCAAGATCGGCGCTCTCTGGAAACAGGCTTTCAACCCCTGAAACGCCTCCTCTGCCTCCTTGTCCCAGGAAAACGGCGTCTTGGGGCGCAGTAGCCGGGTCAACGGGGTGGTGCGATGAGCATAATCTGCAATGAAGGTCCGGTAATAGTTGGCGAACCCCAGGAATCGCTGTAGGTCCTTGCGGTTCCGAGGTGCCGCCCATTCCCGAACCGCTGCCACCTTCCCAGGATCCATCTGCACCCCATCTGGAGAGAGTCGGTGACCAAGGAAGTCCACTGACCGCTGAAGGAACTCGCACTTGCTGAGCTTCGCATACAGGCGGTGCTCCCGCAAGCGCTGCAGCACAGTCCGGACATGACCCTTGTGGCGAGCCGGGTCACGGGAGAAAACCAGAATGTCATCCAAGTACACCACCACGTACTTGTCTAGCAAGTCCTGGAACACGTGGTTGATGTACCGTTGGAACACAGCGGGCGCGTTGCACAATCCGAAGGGCATAACCAGGTATTCGAACTGCCCGTACCGGGTCCCGAATGCTGTCTTCCACTCATCCCCGGCTCGGATCCGAATTAAATTGTAGGCCCCCCGGAGGTCTAGCTTGGTGAACACCTGCGCCCCTTGCACCCGCTCCAGCAACTCCGAAATAAGGGGCAAGGGGTACCGGTCTGGGATGGTAATTTTGTTCAGGGCCCGGTAATCATGGCAAAGGCGACGCTCCCCCACATTTCTTCTTAACGAAGAGCACTGGCGCAGCGGTGGGCGAGGTAGAAGGCCTAATGAAACCACGCTCCAGGTTCTTGCGCAGAAAGTCCTGCAAAGCTTCGCACTCTGGCTCTGTTAGAGAGTATAAGCGACTCACCGGCAGGGGCGCTCCGGGCTGGAGGTCTATGCCACAGTCAAAAGACCAATGCGGCGGCAGCTGGTCTGCCCCCCGTTCATCGAACACGTCTTGGTAGTCCCGGTACTCGGCGGGGAGCGTGGATGCAGCCTCCTCAGTGGGTGCGGCTGCTAGCATCTCGGACTGAGCATGGGGACATGGGTCTGGGAAGTGCACAGTCCGATTGACCCAGTCAATCTGAACATTGTGAGCCTCCAGCCAGTCCATCCCGAGCACCAGGGGGAACCGGGGCATGGAGGCAATGTCCAAAGTTCGCACCTCCCGGTGCTGCTGGAGACACAGGACCAAGGGCTGGGTCTCCCGAGTGACGGCACCCGAACGCAGGAGCCGTCCGTCAATTGCCTCCACCTGTACCGGTTCTGGCTTGTTCTGAAGTGGCACCTGATGATGAGCGGCAAAGGCAGCGTCCATATAGGAGCGGGTTGCCCCTGAATCCACCAGAGCGTGGGTAAGAATCCAGGGCCCACCTGGAGGGTAGAGACGCACCGGAACCATGAGATGTCGCAATTCCACTGGTGAGGGCCCCTCTTGCATGGTTTGGGACCCCAGGTTGCTAGGGCCTTCGGCTACCGAGGTTGGCGGTTTCCCTGCGACTGGCATCTTCTTGGGACAGGATCGGGCGTAATGTCCACTCCCACCGCAGTAAAGACACAGGTTCCCCTCCCGACGCCGCGTCTTCTCCGAGGGGGAGAGGCGAGGTCGCGCAGCCCCGAGCTGCGTTGGCTCGCCCGGCAACTCGGCTGTGGGCGTGGACCTGCTGGGAAGGACTGGAGCCAGGAGCCGGGGGTGCTGGCGGTCCCGGGTCTGGCGACGGTCCTCCAACCGATCGTCTATCTGCAGGCTCCGCTGAATAAGGGCGTCCAGCGTGGTGGGACGATCCATCATGGCCAACTGGTCCAGTATCTCATCCGACAGTCCCTCAAGATACTGGTCCCGAAGTGCAGAGTCATTCCAAGACAAGTCTTGCGCCAACAGCCGAAATTCCATGGTGTAGGCGGCCGCAGTGGACTTGCCCTGTTTCAAACGCCTAATTGCCCGGTTGGCTTGACTCTCCTTCTGGGGGTTGCCGAATGCGGCCTCCAAATGGTTGCAAAACCCCATATAGTCTGTCAGCAAGGGGAGTCTTGCCTGAGCAGCGGCAATGCCCACTTGGCCGCCTGGTCCTTTAACAAACTGATCAAAAAGTGCACCTTGGTGCGGTCGTCAGAGAAGTTCCGGGCTCGCCCCTGAATATACAACTTGGCCTGGGCGAGGAACATGGGAAAGCTGGCCGGGGCCCCATCAAATTTCTCTGGCAAGGCCACTGGGTACTTGCCTGGAGCTGGGGCGTCGGCCACAGAAGCCGGTAGGGCGTCCAACCGCTGCTGAAGTGCCGTAACCGCATCACTGAGCTGCTGCATGGTGTGAGTCAAAGCCTGGTTCTCCTGGGCCAGTGCCACCAGCGCAGCTGCCTGGTCGGCCATGGCTTCTGGCTTTTCCTGAACGCACCCCAATGAAGTGGGAGTGCGGGTGTGGCGGGAGCAAACTGTGCTGGTCCCGGGGAAGGTTACCGTTGTGTAGTCAAGGTCCAGTCCTGAGTCACTGGCCTGGAGACAGTCTCACAAGGAGCGAGGCGAGGTCCACAGCAGGAAGCCGGGCAGGGACAGGAACACTGGAAGGTCAGGCGGACGGACTGGAAGGTCAGAGCTGGAAGCCGGGCGGGACAGGACACTGGAAGGTCAGGTCTGGGTCCGGGTAGGAGCAGTTACTCACGACGACGTTGCTCCCGCAACCTGGGACCGGGCTGACTGGCCTTTATCTTCTCTGAGGCCAGGGGCGGTCCCGGCCCCCAGGAGACCCGCCTCTCCTGGCCTTAAGGCGAGCACTCCTCCTGGGAGAAACCAGTTCCCTTCGCCTCTCTGCCCTGAGCCTCTGCAGTTCAGGAGAGGCTGAAGGGTTACTGGACCCAGGGGAGACTCACCTGTAGGCACTGAGTCCTCAACCACCTCCGGAGCCAGAGTGGATTCACCTGGTGCCTGCTCCTGAGGATCCGGCACAGGTGTAGGCGCTTCAGAATCAAGGCCCTGCCCCAGTTCAGCCGGCCCTGGAGGCGGGAACTCCTGTGCAGGCTGGGAATCCTCCGGTTCACCCTCTGAATCGGATTCCCAGGCCATCACAGAGGGGCTCAGCTGAGGCTCAATCCCTGTGCACCCCATTTCCTTCTCCCTATCCATATTCTCTTTCCCCAGGGGGGCATGCTGGCCCTGGAGGCAATGATTGACTCTGGCATCTGTCCCCCCTCGCATCAGGACCCATTACCCGTGAGCCCTGTCCACTGGCCAGGAACTGTTAACGGATCAACTAGTCCAGACGCCACATTTCCCTGTGGTCCATGGAAGCCTCTGCTTGGTCCGACATGACCCCGCCATTTCCTGGGTGCAGCGGATGTTGTGCTTCTCATCGTCTTTCTGCCACGACGTCTGTGCCCAACCCCGTGTTGCCGCCGGCACCTGGGAAGCCTCAACAGCCGGCCCTCAGTTCTTCCACTTTGCAGGGGGCTGCCCCAGACAGGGCAGGGTTACCGGATGTCGGCCTAATCCTGAAGCCCTACCAGGATTTGGTGGACGTGTCTGAGAAAAAGGGGGCTGAGGCTTTGCCACCCCATCGGACTTACGATTGTCCTATTGACTTGCAGCCAGGAGCAGAGAGTCCTTTCGGCCGCATTTATGCCTTGTCAGCCCCTGAACTTGGGGCCCTCCGAGAGTACTTAGATGACAACCTTGCCAGGGGGTTCAGTCGCCCCTCTACTTCCCTGCTGGCCCCCTCCCCACCTGCATGTTTTCCGGCTGCCTGCGCATCCCTAGAATGCTTCCTAGAATGCGCATCCCTAGAATGCTTCCCTGGACGCAGCAGCACCGGAGCACGGAGAGGAGGTGGCGGCGGCTGTCGGTTGCGCTCCTAGGCGCCGGAAGCTGAGCCGGGTGGGCTGGAGCCTGCGCACAGGACACGATCCTTTCCGCTCTGCTTGCCAGGAGGGCAGGGGATTTCCCTGCTCTTTCTTGCGTTCGTCTGCCACCAATCTCCTTGCTGAGCGTGTCTGCGTGCTGCGTCGTTACGCTGATGCAGCCTGCGCTGAGCACCGGAAGGGGAATGGAGCGTGTCTGCCTGCTGATTCCTTCCTAGCTGCGTCACCTCGCACCAAGCAGACACGCTGAGCGAGGGAAATGGGCCATTGCTGGCCCGATCCGAGCAAACACAGCAACCGAAAACAGAAGAGGGTGGGCAGTAAGACCCTGAGGCAGAGGGCAGGAAAGGAATTCACTGCGGCTGTGTACTCCCTGCCAGAAAGGGACCAGAACAAGAAGAGGGGAGCAGCAGCTGACTTTCACTACCCAGTTAAAACCATACGCAGCAGGAGTCACAACTGAATCCTTAGGAAGGCGCTACAATAATTAGGCAAGGGGAACAGGGCTGATGAACAGACGGTAGTCTTGGGATGCCATACAGATCGAGAGACTCCACACACAAGGTCACTCCAACGCCCCCTTAACCACGCGCTCTCCCGTGCAGCAACACGACTCACACGCCTCCACACACACATCAAAATATGCCCGATACAGGAACCCCAGCAGCCTCCTCTCTGCAGCCTTCCCTCCTCCGTAACACGCGATCTGATTTTGGCCCCTGCACTTGGGCCAGTCGGCTCCAGGGACCACATATTCGCTCAGTAAGACACACAGCCATTCCCCTTACTTTTGAGGAGGAAAAAAGTGTGTCTTATCGAGCGAAAAATACGGTCATTTTCCCTTTCAAACAGGATACGTGAACCTCTAAGAGAACTCAAAACCCACATAAGGAAAATGTTTAATAATTTGTCGACTGTGTCTAAATTAACAAAGGTTTTGTCCCTTCATTTCTACCACAGCCAAAGTAAGTGAAGGAAATTAGACTGAGCAGAAAATAACAGTAGTAATTATATGTAAAGGTGATAGTATTTAAATGAATAAAATGCTGAACTCTAAGTGGTTTTTTTATCGTTTACAGCTTCCCTTATGATATTCCCCCTCTTTGGCTTCTTACCCCTTCAGGTGTTAAACAGGGTTGTGTTATTGCCCCAGCTCTATTCATTATTTTCATTGCCACGATCCTACACGTTGTCGAAGGGAAACTCACCACCGGAGTAGAAATCGTATATCGAACAGATGGAAAGAAAGCTCTTCAATCTGAGCAGGCTGAAAGCAGGGAGTAAGGTTACCGTAACTTCCGTCATAGAGCTTCATAGAATCATAGAATCATAGAGTTGGAAGAGACCACAAGGGCCATCGAGTCCAACCCCTGCCAAGCAGGAAACACCATCAGAGCACTCCTGACATATGGTTGTCAAGCCTCTGCTTAAAGACCTCCAAAGAAGGAGACTCCACCACACTCCTTGGCAGCAAATTCCACTGTCCAACAGCTCTTACTGTCAGGAAGTTCTTCCTAATGTTTAGGTGGAATCTTCTTTCTTGTAGTTTGGATCCATTGCTCCGTGTCCGCTTCTCTGGAGCAGCAGAAAACAACCTTTCTCCCTCCTCTATGTGACATCCTTTTATATATTTGAACATGGCTATCATATCACCCCTTAACCTCCTCTTCTCCAGGCTAAACATGCCCAGCTCCCTTAGCCGTTCCTCATAAGGCATCGTTTCCAGGCCTTTGACCATATATCGAACAGATGGAAAGAAAGCTCTTCAATCTGAGCAGGCTGAAAGCAGGGAGTAAGGTTACCATAACTTCCGTCATAGAGCTTCAGTATGCTGATGACAACGTAGTGTGCGCACGCTCAGAGGATGACCTCCAAACCATCCTAAATATCTTCACAGAAGCTTACGAGAAGCTTGGCCTATCACTCAACATCCAAAAAAACAAAGTGCTGCACCAAGTACAAAATAACCCCTCTGCAGTGCCACAAATCCAACTCAGTGGTGTAACAGTGGAAAATGTTGATCACTTCTCCCTAGGCAGTTATCTTTCCACAAGGGTCAACATTGATGCCGACATCCAGCATCGCCTGAGCTCAGTGGCGTAGCGTGGGTTGTCAGCACCCGGGGCAAGGCAAGTAATTTGCGCCCCCTAACCCGTGGATTTTAGCACTCGAGTCTCTTCCACTAGATTGGTGCGTGCCGCCCCCCCAGATGTTGCGCCCGGTGCGGCCGGCCCCCCCTGCACCCCCCACGCTACTCCACTGCCTGAGCTCTGGGAGTGTGGCTTTCTCCCAATTGAAGTGCAGAGTGAGGACCGGGAGATTGGCAGGGAAACCAAAATGTTTGTTTGCAAATGGCCTTAAGAGGCGTGACATGCAAGTCCCTTTCCGGTTTACTAAAACCCATGCATTTGGGAGGGGAATAGCAGGTTATTATTTATATCTATATAACATACAGGACCAAAGGGGGGTGGGAAATATGTCTGTGTGTGAACTGTAGTTAAATGTGGAGAAAATATTTGTGGTTCCTACGGAACCTAAGCAAATTTATCTCCAAAGGGGGGAGCTGTTACAGAAATGACGGGGGGGGCACATCTTTAAATTGTTAAATGTTACAAATATTATGCCTGAATGTATCCTTTTGCCTTGACAGCTCAGGGAAGATATCTAACTTTACAAATCATATCAAATCAACGCCTTTGCCAGTTTATGTTCGTAGCAAAAGGAAGAACAAAGAAACAGTGGGGTCACTCAGAGGATAAGATGGTGAAATGCAAACAGGGGACACAGAAAGGGCTGAACTCCTCAATGCCTTCTTTGCCTCAGTCTTCTCCGATAAAAAAAACAATGCCCGACCTGAAGAATTTGGAGCAAATGATTCAGCAGAGAAACACAGCCCAGAATAACAAAGGAGATAGTACAAGAATACTTGGCTAGTTTAGATGTATTCAAGTCTCCAGGGCCAGATGAACTGCATCCAAGAGTATTAAAAGAACTGGCAGGTGTGATCTCAGAACCACTGGCAGTCATCTTTGAGAATTCCTGGAGAACAGGCGAAGTCCCGGCAGACTGGAGGAGGGCAAATGTTATCCCTATTTTCAAAAAGGGGAAAAGAGAGGACCCAAATAATTACCGCCCAGTCAGTCTGACATCAATACCAGGGAAGATTCTGGAGCAGATCATTAAGCAAACAGTCTGTTGTTTTTTTTAAGAATATTTATTCAAGTTTTAAAATTACAAAAAAGAAAGAAAAAACAAAACAAGAAAACCAGTCACATACATCTTACAAAAAATACACACCATACAAGAAAAAAAAAGAAAAAAGGAAAAAATACACAAAATCAAAAATCACAATAAAGAAATAACAAGAAAAAAAGAATTCAAATTTAACAAACCGTTTTCCCATTTACTTATTTCCGTGACTTCCTCTCACTTCTCTGCTTTGTATTCTAATTCAAATTATATCTCCAGCAAATCCTTCTAACCTTCTTTTCATTCACTTATTTTAACATTTTAACATTCAAAAATATTTAATTCTCCTCTATCCTTTAGTTTACACTTTATATTTACTTAATTCCATTATACTCTGTCTGCCAATACGGTCTAATATTTCTTCTCCAACCTTTCCTAACATTCATTTATGTTACAATAATTCTGTAAATATATTTTAAACTTTTTCCAATCTTGTTCCATCAACCCTTCTTCTTGGTCTCGAATTCTTCCAGTCATCTCAGCCAGTTCCATATAGTCTATCACTTTTCTCTGCCATTCTTCTCGGGTAGGCAATTCTTGTGTCTTCCAATATTTCCCGATGAGTATTCTTGCTGCTGCTGTATTAAGCAAACAGTCTGTGAGCACCTAGAAAGGAATGCTGTGATCACCAATAGTCAGCATGGATTTCTGAAAAATAAGTCATGTCAGACTAACCGGATCTCGTTTTTTGACAGAATTGCAAGCCTGGTAGATGAGGGGGAACGCAGTGGATGTAGCCTACCTTGATTTCAGCAAGGCATTTGACAAGGTGCCCCATGATATTCTTGTAAAGAAGCTGGTAAAATGCGGTCTTGACTATGCTACCACTCAGTGGATTTGTAACTGGCTGACTGACCGAACCCAAAGGGTGCTCATCAATGGTTCCTCTTCATCCTGGAGAAGAGTGACTAGTGGGGTGCCACAGGGTTCTGTCTTGGGCCCGCTCTTATTCAACATCTTTATCAACGACTTGGATGATGGACTCAAGGGCATCCTGATCAAATTTGCAGATGACACCAAACTGGGAGGGGTGGCTAACACCCCAGAGGACAGGATCACACTTCAAAACGACCTTGACAGATTAGAGAACTGGGCCAAAACAAACAAGATGAACTTTAACAGGGAGAAATGTAAAGTATTGCACTTGGGCAAAAAAAATGAGAGGCACAAATACAAGATGGGTGACACCTGGCTTGAGAGCAGTACATGTGAAAAGGATCTAGGAGTCTTGGTTGACCCCAACCTTTTTTTATTTAAATAATTTTTTATTAAGTTTTCAGTAAAAAATTAAACAGAAAGACATAAAAAAGAAATACACAAATACACAGTACATAATTCAAAGAGGGGAAAAAAAAGAAAACAGAACAATTAAAAAGAGTCACCTTTTCATTTCCGTGTTTAAATTTACTTATTTTCTGGACCTCCTCATACCTCCCTCTTTTGTATTCCAGTCCAAATTGTTTGTCCAGCAATTTCTTTTCCACTTTTTTAATCCCAATCTTTAATCTTTAATATAATATAGTATTAAAATTTTACCTCTTAAAATACCAAATTTCCATTTCCTTAAACTTCTTTAATCCTAATCCAATCTTAATCTATCTATAACATTAAATCCTGTACAGCTGGAAACCACTTATTTTCCATCCAACATCACTCTAGCATTCTTTAATTTTGTAGTGTTTCTGTAGATAGTCTTTGAATTTCTTCCAATCCTCCTCCACCGACTCTTCTCCCTGGTCACGGATTCT